GCTGCATATGCTGAACGGCGTCACTCTCTCTGGGCCGATCCAAACTTGATTCGCTAGTTTCATGAGGCAGTGTCTGTTATAGGATCGCAAATGCTTAGTTTCGTCCCCGTTTCTGGTTTTGATCGGATGAAGTAGACGCTCTGTGCCCTGTGGCGAAGCAGATTTGTAGACTAGCCTGGTACGTAGCAGATTTGGTTGTAAAACGAGAGATTTTGGTTATGATCTGATAACTAATTGAAATATATTTTCTCAAACTTGAGATTTCTGTTATCTTGTGACACTTCACTCGGTTTAGTCTAATGCGGCTTCCAGGACGTGTAGTTTAGAATTTGATGTGAGATAATTGGCACGACTTGTGCTTTTAATACATAGTGTTCGTCTCCTGCTTAACGTTTACGTGTTTAAGCCATGTCATTTCCGCACGATATTTTACGTGCTTGTGTTGTATCTGATTGTTCTTGTTGGGTTCTACAAGTATCTTACTATTTTGTTGTGGTGCAGATGGGAAGACCTTCAAGAAGCCAAGGCGTCCGTATGAGAAGGAGCGTCTTGACGCTGAGCTGAAGCTGGTTGGGGAGTACGGTCTGCGGGCCAAGCGTGAGCTCTACCGTGTGCAGTACGCCCTCAGCCGCATCCGAAATGCTGCCAGGGAGCTGCTCACCCTGGATGAGAAGAACCCCCGCCGTATCTTTGAGGGTGCAGCGCTCCTCCGCCGCATGAACCGCTACGGTCTTCTCACTGAGGAACAGAACAAGCTTGATTATGTGCTTGCCCTCACTGTTGACAACTTCCTCCAGCGCCGTCTCCAGACCATCGTCTTCAAGAATGGCATGGCCAAGTCAATCCATCATGCTCGTGTCCTTATCAGACAGCGCCACATCAGGTTAGCTATCCACACTCACCCATCTCTTCATGCATGTTGAAATTTACAGGGCTACTAGTTTATCCTGTCATGCAATATCATTCAGCACTCACCTGGGAATCATTTATCCACAATGAGATATGTACCTATGTTGTTGTAGCCAACAGTTTTGTGCTTCACTATAATATCATCATAGATCATATGCATAAGTTTGTTTGGATGCAGTTTGGTAATTTAGATGATAGTTTTCTATATTTGTGGCTGATATTGTTATGCATTTTTTTTTGGCTTGTGGATCTATACTGATTGTATTACACATGACTTGTGCCTTTTCATTTTGGATGGGGCATATGATGAGAAACTGTATGCAAACTCATGACGGTCGTCTAAGATACTTTGTGTATAATGTTGCAATCATATTTTCTCTGATGTCCCTTGTTCTTGAAGTCTGGGGTATGCTATCTGTGATGGCCCTTGTATTGCTGTAATCATGTTCTTGTTTAATTGAGTTTTGCAATCTTAATCTGGAAAAATAATGCAATCTAAATGTTTCTGAGTTTCATAATGCCTATTCAAATCTATTAAGTGAATTACATGCCTGGGTAACCTTGGCTTAAGATATGTTTTTTTAGTTTTCTGAATTACCATTTGTTTATCTGAACTTGTAAATCCCATGTTGCTCTTAAAGGTTTGAACAACATGATTTTCCTTGTTTTTGTTTAATGACATTCATCAGTCTAGAACCGATCCTTGTAAACTGTAGTAGTGTCAGACCTCAAGATGGTGATTTAGATCATGCTTGGTTAGTTGTGAGGTTGCCTATTTCTGTTGGTTTATGTTAGGCAGTTTGTTTCCAGTTATTTTGCCAATATTTGTACATTTTTGGCTGGTCAATCTGTACTGATTGAAGGATACAGGACATATGATGAGAAACTTATGTCACTCACGACGGTCGTCTGAGACACTTTGTGTGTAATGTTGCAATCAAATATTCTCTGATGTCCTTGCTTTTTCAGCTTTGCAATCTTATTCTGGAAAATTATTTCAATCTGAAATTCTTAGTTTCAGAATCTCTATTCAAATTTATGAAGGTTGTAGGTCAAGTCTTCCATGGTTTATATGCTAATAGATCCTTTTTTGGGCAATCTTATTTTGAGTTGATTGATAAATGCTTAGGGAGTTAATTTTTCATATTAACTCTTTTGTAGTTATGTAAAAATATCTAACAGTGCATGTTTTTTATGGCACAATGAGGAGTTAATATATCTCTACCGAGGTTGGAAGACCAATGACTCTTTATGTCCTTTTCATTCTGAGTGCCCTATTTTGCTGCAAACCTCTTTATTTTGATTGATATATGCTGTTTTCTTCTTGGTCTTTGTCTACCAGCCTTTTCATTTTCTTCGCTGAACAGTTGGCTTTTGTGAATGAACATGTCTGGGTAACCTTGGCCTAAATTTTGTTTATTGGTTTTCTGAATTTCCATTTGTTGTTAAACTTCTAGCTCACTTGTCTTCAAGGTTTGAACAACATAATTTCCTTGTTGTACTTTGAACATTTTCATCACTCTAGTCTTGTCTTTACTGTAGATGTGAGACTTATCATATATAATGATCAGCACTTGTTGTTTCTTTAGTGCTGTTTTTATCCTTTGATGATCTTACTGTTGTATATGTTCCTTCACAGGGTTGGAAAGCAGCTTGTCAACATTCCTTCTTTCATGGTGAGGGTGGACACTGAGAAGCACGTCGACTTCTCTCTCACCAGCCCCCTGGGTGGTGGCCAACCTGGAAGAGTGAAGCGGAAGAACCAGAAGAAGGCCTCAGGTGGTGGTGGTGATGACGGCGAGGAGGAGGAAGACTAAGCGCCCAGCCTCACCCGCATAACTTTCGTTGCAGAAATGTTGAGATTGCCTTGTGGAACTCGGAAATGATTCAAACTTTCCTTCTTAGAAACTTAGTGGTGTAGAGCTTTCGTTGGTTCAGAATCTTTTGGCTGTCGGTTCTAAAATTAAACTTATGTGTGTCGGTTTTGCTTGGTTAGTGACCACCGAGCAGAAGTGAACTCTTGAGGCTGCTTCGTTTTTTGTGAACCAAACGTATCTTGTTTATCGATTTGACAAGCCTGGTTCTGAGTTATTTTACTCTGCATGAAATGTTACTGTTGTCCTTACTATTTTTCTCTTTTGTCTGATCGGTTAGGCTGGTGACAATTTCGAGTGTGTCGACCGAATGATACTCTTTCCCTGTCTATAATTACAATTGTAGTATTAGTAACTAATCGTAATGGGAATGAGAAATTTGTAGAAATGCCGTAATTTTATCGAGAAACATCACCGTCTTTGGATATCAGCCGAAACATTCCTATGATACATTCTTTGGATATTTGGGATACAACCTTAGTGATTCTTACCTCAGCAGCCCCGTTAGCTGATTGCCGATTCCAGCTTACCTCGTGTCATTCCTTGCTAGCCAAAGAGCGTATAAACCCTGGATTATCGTCGACCTCTTCCTCCGTGGCTTCTGCGGATCATGGCATCATCCATCTCACTCTGAGAGCCTGCTGAAACAGGTGGCACCATCCCCGGAGCTCCCAATTCTGAGCACAAATATCTCCAAAAAGGTATCGAGTGAGGACATTGCCCAAAACCTGTGATATAATGTCTCTCCCTACCACATGTGGCGCAATACACACCCGCCTTGATCTGTCGACGACGAAGCTCACCCCCAACAGCGAGGCCATTGCGCATTAGCGGCCATGTATGTATTCTTCTTTTTCTTTATTTGGTCTATCCCATGGTGCAAGCCATCCTTTGTGGTTGACAACGGTCGAAAAAGGTTTCTGTCATCCGGTCTCATGCGATTCTTTGTCATGGGCAATTGGGCAGGTTATCAGAATTGCTATTCTATTATATGATTTTACGACTTTACAATCCATACTAACTTCTTTGATTCTACGATTTTGGTTAGTAGAATCTACGTTTTTATGATTCTGATAGTTAAGATTGTATAATTTGTGATTCTACCATCAGAGCTTCGATCCGATTCAGAATTACAATTATGACAACCTTGGTTGACTTAACTGTGCACCGTCCTAAAAATAATAATTAGAAAACATAATCGCCTTCAACATCGACCTTACCAACAGAGGGCAAAAAGGGCCTCCCTTTCGATTTGGAAAGAGCACCCCGAGAATAATATTGAGCCGTTCTTCAAATTCAAAGGTGAATGCCGATGCAACAATATAGGATTAACGAAGAACCTCAAAGCAAGTTTGCGTTCACCACAAAACGTCATATCTGATTTGGCCAAACATAGATCCACAATTGTTTTCCCTTTCATCTCCATGACCCTAAAAGAGGTGAGGAACAAGGCCATCATAAGCCTGATCCAGCCGTACGCCAAGTTTACTAGGGGTCCCATCGGGTCCACCACTTGCAATCACATATTTCTCCATAGAAAATAACTAAGCTAAGGGGCGTGCGCCTTGAAACACCGCTAGAGAGCGCCGGAGTGAAACCCCACAACAACATAGCGCCACAAATGGTGAGGCCATCGGAGGAGGAAGGGAGGGGTGCCGGAGCACCCTCAACGACTCCCAAGGAGGAGAGATAAAGGGAAGGGGAATAAGCCTACTTTCCTGTTTCCGAACCTATCATCGCTTATTACTTGCCTTGTTTCTACAATAATCATTGCTTAACTCATGT